CCCTATATGAGCCCTATATAACCCCAATATAGTTGTGGGAGTTTGTGTCAGTGGAAGCGGGTTGAGGGCGGGCGCAAAGCTTGATTTGCCTGTTCTCAGATGCCTGTGAGCCCGAGGCTGCGTCAGGTTTACGGGGGTATTACTGGGAATGTTTTGAAAAGGTATGGACCCAAATCCATACATAACCTTATGTACACGAGAAGAATGGATTTTATGTAGGGCCCCCTAAATCCGTATCTGATGGTTTTGCAGTTCGTCTTAGGCCAGCGCTGACCCGCTTTCCACTGAGGTTCGTTGTCTTCTACTATCCTTTCCTATACACGAGCCATGGTGGCAGAAAGTTCTCAGCATTTAGCAGTACTGACGTCGTTGGAGGTACTATTGATACTACAACCCTGCATGATATGAGTATACCAGAATACCCTCATCACCAAAGCAATCTAGGTCATGCAGGGTTTTTAGTATCACTAAACCCTAAACCCTAGACCTTAGCTGGTTAAATTTGAGATGCTCAGGATTCTTATCAAGCCAGTGGTGAATCACATCGATATCCCTTCCTGTTTCAAGGCGGGGGTCTCTTCCTACCCTAAACCCTGAGGTCTCCCCCTAAACCCCAAATCCTAAGTTGATAAGCCCCCAACCCTAAGCCCTTAACCCTAAACTCTAAGCACTTAACCCTAAACCCTAAACTTATGTACCTCTATATATCCCTATAAAACCAAATAGGGTATATAACCCTAGTTCCTGAGCTTGTGCGGCTATTGCCTCAGGCCCTGAGCAGCGATTTGCGACTCTTTTTTTTCACGCAGATTGCCGTCGAGGCTTCAACTGCTCAGAGTGACGCCATGCTGGATAGTGAATGATATTGAGATTCAGGGTTTCGGAAACCCTAAACCCTAAACTCCAAGGGTTTAGGTTTAGGTTTTAGGGTCAGATGTAAGAGCTTTGGGTTTTGGGTTTAGGATTTAGGGTTTAGGGTCAGGAAAGGCTTCTCCACATAATGTACACCCCGAAATTTCTGGCGGAGTTACTGTGGATGTTTCCCTACATAGGGCTGCATCCCAGCCTTTTATGATTGCGACTTACAAAACTGTAGTCTTCCTAGGAAATATTCTTATTTTTGGGGTATAACCCTAAAGAATTATTGAAGTTACTATTCTATTATAGGTCTAAGGAGACTGCAGAAAAAGTGCCCCCTACCCATCCCCTTTGTCCCATCTCTTTAGACTGACTAGCAGGTTCTGGTCTTGCTGGTGTCGGTGGTTAAGTCCTGGATAAAGGCCGGCTGCACGTGGCTTTTGCTGTTTGCAGGTAGAGACACAGCAAGATGGAGGACGTTCCAAGTTCTTCTTGTTACTACTATTAGTATTAGTATTATGAGTAGCTTCGTATTATTATACCCCTGAAAATCCTGAATAAGACCAGGTATTCCAGGTCGTAATCCTCCCGTACTCCCCATACATATCCCCAAAGTCTCCAAGGGTCCGGTCTTGACAAACTCCTAAATCCCTAAACCCTAAACAGAGTTTCCATTTCTTTTTCCAAGTTCTTCTCCATTGTTGGTACTACTTCTATATAGCCCCTCTAAATCCTTGACCCTAAGCCCTGATATAATGCCTATAGGAGTTCTCTCGCCCCGAATCTGATGGTCAGGTGGCAGCAGAGCGCAGGAAGGTGGCCAACAAGGAATACTCTTATCTGGTGCCTGGGCTTAGGGTTTAGGGTTTAGGGATGTGATTTTAGGGTTTGGGATTCAGGGATTTCTTCTGTCGATGCTTAGTGTCCTGCATGACTGTATACCAGAATGTCCGAGCCACTCTACCCTATCTATGAAGGACGTTCAGAAACGCATCCTCAAAGTCGCGCCCAGTTTTTCCAGAAACTTGCATAGGAACTTCGAGATTGTGAATACGGAGCAGGTTCTCTCAACTGTGATAGTGCAACACCATGTTGATCCCTAAGTCCGTCACAACATCTGAGGAATATCAGGCCAAATGCCCCGAATATTCAGATGAGGCAGGTTGCTGCCCATGCTGCACCAACAAACAACCTTTCCATGTGAGCTATAGTCTAAACTCCTTGAAGAGGTTTTATAGGGGATTATTTAGGGGAGTATTACGGGGTTTTTTAAGGGGGATACTGGGAGTTTAGACTATGGCTCATGTGGAGCTGGCAGGATTTCATGTCGGACGTGCAGCAGCAGGTGATCAATTATGGCTTCTTAGTAATGCTGCTTGTCAGGGCTGTCAGACAAGCTGGGAGTGCCTTCCAAGTTTAAGGGTTGATTTCTGAGGTTTGGAGTCTGCCTGCCGTATGTGTTCCTTGGCCGATTTTGGTCCGTCCCTGTGAGTGCCCATCAAGCTGGGGGTGACAAACCAAGGTGTGGCATTTGTTTCTGCGTCAACTTCCTGTGCCTTCCTCGGTGAGATGCAGATTCATTGGCCCCCTCAACCCTAAACCCTAAACCCTAAACCCTAAACCCCTAAACCCCTAAACTCTAAACCCCTAAACCCCTAAACCCCTAAACCATTGTGAGCCAAGGTTCAAGCGCATGCTAGCGTGCCCCGTGTGGATGCAATACAGCGCCAACCAGACACAACAATGGTTTAGGGGTTTAGGGTTTAGGGTTTGTTAGTTGGCAACTGTGTGGGTTGACGCTTTAGGCTTTAGGGGGCCGTTTGCAGAATCGCTTGAGCTGTAGTCTAAACTCCTAGTATCCCCCTTAATATCCCCTATAGTAGTCCCCTATAGAATCCCCTATATAACCCCCTGTAAGGAGTTTAGACTATAGCTCACTTGGAATTCAAGGCTCCAGGCGAAAGATTTCCGAATCACAGCCCTGTTGCAAAGCATGCTCGCACCTCTTGCCACCTCCTCTTTAAAGTTGTCTTAGACGGATTTAGACGGTTTTTTTGCGGGTGTATATAGGTGACTGCTAAAGGGGGTACTACGCAGCCTTCATTTTCATCCAAATCATGATTCAAATCTCAATTCGCTGCCTGCTGTACCACATGGAATCATGACATGCACTAGATCACGTGCGGCCTTTTCACAATAAGTCTACTGCCTCTAAGAGAGGCCAACAAATCACAGTTTTCATGATCAACTTCAGAAGTAGTTTTCTTCCTTGCTGATGTGGAAAAGGCTTTCTGTTTTGTTGTGCTCAAAACTGTGTGCTCTCACATTTCTGGTTGTTGATCTTGGTAGCTTAAACCAACGTGTGTAGCGTCTTCCATAAGTTCAGAAACGAATAGTCATGAAACAGAGCGGTCTGTAACTACCCGCAGCGATGGCCTCACGTGCTTGAAACAGCCAGGCCAGAGACACCTGACGTCATATCACTGAGTGGCTAAAATCACGCTCTATGAGAAAACCATTGCTATAAAACCACACAGGAGAGCCTAAGATCGCGGGCAAACCTAAAGCCTGAAAAGGAGGCTGGAGCATCAAGTAGAAAG